TCCTTTTATACAGGCTTTAAGTAAGTATTGTGCAAAACAGATAAACTGAACTTGTAAGGGGATTTTTTTGTAGCACTTCAAAGGACTTCTGAAATCTTTGAGAACTGACTGTAGCTAAGAGAAACATGACCAGTGGTGACCAGGGAGAGAAACATAGGAATTGCCATGCCAGATCATAGCAGCATCCACGTAATCCTTTTTCTTTTCTCCTGCAACAGCCAGTACCATCTGCTGAAGAGAAAAGCACAAGAAACCCTTGCAGTAGGTTGTTCTCACTACAGGAAATAGTACAGGGAGTGTTTTTTCCCCTCACAGTTAGTAATTAGAAGCTGGTCCTCACCATCAAGTGTGAGGGGTTTTTCTCTCCAAAAATAAGGCATATTTTTGGAGCAATTAGCTTGAAGCATGGGGCAGTCAAATGTTCTTGGGAGACAGTAGAGTTTATATTCCCTCTCTGAGGAAACCTCTCATAATTTTATTCCCCCCCCCCAAATTTATCTGGCTGAAATTCAAAGCATACTCCAAAGTGCCTGATAGCATATAGAAACATTTCATCAAATCCAATTTAAAAGTGCAAAATTTAAAGTCCCAGCTGTCTTTGTATGTGTGTGTGTTTAGCCATGTTCCCTAAGGAAAAAAGGTTTATGCAGTTGTGCTGTTTCTCAATTTCCTTCTGACATCTTGAACCCTCAGTCATAACCTCCTTAGCTGACATTTGAGATCTCAAAGCTATTACGTTCTTAGGAGATTTGTGAAAATAGGTAGTGTGGTTGGGTAAAGGAGAGAGGTTCTGTTGAAGGGTTGTGCTCAGTCTTTCCTATTAGACATGAGAGACTCCATACAAGACCAGCCTCAAGTTATAGATCTATAAGGGATCAGGCTTTGTTGCTTCAGCTTCTTTCTGGTTATATGGCATAACTTGCTGTTTGTACCTTAATTCCAGATTACTATTTGTCTTAAACATTTCCAACTGTTGCCAGGTGCAATGTATCTTTTCATATTTTCCTATTGCCCTTTTCTCCTACCAGGATGAAACAAAATTGCCTTAAATCAAGCTGTAATTAAATATGTTCATAGTTATATAAAAGGAGTTGTGTTCTTTATTGTGGTGTCTCAAACTTTCTAGGTTTAAGTCTTTCCTCTTAAAAAGTACAGAGTGCACATGTATTCTTTCTTTAAAAATCAACAAAAAACAACTTCCAGTCACCATAGAGAATTAAACACATGAAAGCATCCACTGAAGTTGATAAAAATGCACCTGTTGACTTCAATGACCATTGGATCAGGCCCAAAGCCAGTGGTGTGAGCAAGTTGTTTTGTGTTCAAACTACCAGACTTGGAGAACTTCAAAGGGGCTTTAAATTCTGTAATTTAATGCAGCAAGCTGCTTAGCTCTTGTAAGCTTTACCACTGCCCCAGGAAAAGTACCCCAAGTTTACAAACACCTCTCATTTCAGTACTTGGGCTTGTGGTCTGGTAGGTGCATAGTTAATTTCCTCTGCATGCATGTCTCATGCATCTTTTAAGTATACAGCTAACGGTACAATGAGATTTGTTGTGCAAAAGTACTGTTCATTTGTGGAGTATTATCAGTCTTGCATTTTCAGATCCTCATAATTGAGGCTTTCAAACTTATCTGTTCAGTGCCAAACTTACCGTGAATACAAGTCTATTTCATATCTCAAATCTGAACGTTTCAGCTGTTGTGGTGCTACTCCTACAAAGAGAGAGGTCATTGAGGATGTTTCTTGCCATCAGAAATAAGTCTTTCTTCACCCTTGGAAGTCCAGGACAGTTGAAAGGATTTTGCTCAACTTGCTAAAATGTACTCTTTGGGTTGAAATCTTCTGTGTACTCTCTCTTTGCCAAAGACAGACAAATAACGAGCATAAAAGATGGAAATACTTTTGCTGTCTTAACCATAGCAATATGACTATAGAGCAACCACTCCAAAAGAATATCTTGTCAGAATGTGTGGGAGTTAATTAGGGATATAAGCCTGCAAATACCTGCTGAAATGCCATGTGGCTTTATGAAGACAAGGCTAGTGGTATCTGTACCATTTTACACTGCACTTCTGTAATAGAGCTGTGACACTTCAGCATTCCATATACACCTCTTTGACTGCTTCCGTGTCTCCCTCCCGTTTCACAGATCTGCTTTTACTATGCACGTGGAAGCTGGGCATTCGGCAGTTCCTGAGGAAGGACCCAAAGACCTTCGCTGTCCTCTTTGCCTATATCACACCAAATACAAACGTAACATGATTGATCATATAGTTCTGCACAGAGGTAAAGATGTCCCTGTATGTATCTATATCTGATAAAGAGAATGCTGAACAGTACCCCTCTCTTTCAGATTGGTTCCTTTAAGTTTTCTCTTCTCTGCATGTGGGCAGAAATATGTTGAACAGATCATCAGGCCTTCAATATCTTTTGTTTTGTTTTTAAACAGTACATCTTATTTCTTTCCTGTGAAATACAAAATTAACCAATGAAGTTGGTAGAAGTGGAGCAGATTTAAAATTCTTTTTAAGCTTTTCCTCTAGAGAAGTGAAGTTATCAAGCACCTGTTTAGTAAGAGTTGCACTAATTTACAACAGTGTGGTTTCCAATGTATGTGTTTCTAAAGTGCTTGCTATCATAAACACTGTGGTAAGATGCATCAACTATAGAGACTTTAAAATATCCCTTGACTGCTTGCTTGAAATTTCTCTTCATGACATGCTGCTTACCTGTTCTTAGGAACAAAACAAAATTAGTGGGCTTTTTGTTTTTCTTTAAGACTCTTCCCCTCCCTCCCCCCCTTTTTCTTTTAACCCAGCTAAAAGCAGGGTTCAGGATTCCTATTCTATTAAGCACAGGCTTGCAAGCTCAGAAGAGACATCTTTTGGGGCTCTCTGGGCTGGGATTCCTACCCACAGCTATCACACTTGATGCTTGTAGATAGTCTGTTGGCTGCTGAAATTCAAACCCATATGTTGGGATAGTACTCTGCCTGCTTGCAGGTTGGCCAGAGTTTTACAGTAGGGTATTGCTGGTGAGCAAACACAAGTTTCACATGTCATCTTTTTCTTGGAGGAGCTTCTGGTGCTGCAACCACTGTCATAATTCCTTGTGGCATTCCACTTTCCAATACTGGTTGCTTAGGGTCCTTCCTGTACCAAAGCAATGAGGTAAACCTAGTTCATACAAACTTCTGTCTGCTGGAAAGGCTATTTTGAAGGAGCATTTGGGAAAAAGGCTAAGGACTGTTCAGGGACTCAAAAGACATATAACAAAGCTGCCTTATTGAGTATAAGGGTTCAACAGGTACTTTTACTTAGGTGTGGGCTTGTCCTTGAAGGTGTCAACAGGGTTGAATTTTGTCCAGCTTTAGGGTATGCTCCAGGATTACTCCTCTTTGGAGAAAAGGTGGGTTTGGAAGTTCTGTGGGGGGAACCCTGGGATTCCAAATACTGGCTAGGTGCATCTCATGAGACCAATTGTTCTCTGGTTTGTGGTTGTGCCTGAGATCAAGTGGAGAAGGTCTGACACTTTAAATGCAGATAAACGGGCAGGGGGAGATCTTGCTGGGCCTTGTTAGAAAAACTTCCAGCAAAGGTAGTTACCTTCATACTGAGAATGTCAGATTGCAACATGATTTGAACTTCATTGAACTTCATGAGTTCAAGCAGTTGTGTTGGCTTTACAGAGATGTTTCTGACCAAATGCTAGGAAGCAGGGCTGGTTACCTCCTGAGTATGTGACACTGGATCTGTTCCTTTGTATAGCTGTAGCTTCAGCTGCACAAACCAACCTTGAGCCCTTGTGCTGCTGAAACAAAATTGTAGTAGCAAGGGATGTGATTATACACTCACTAGAGTGATGGAGGAGATAAAACAGAATAAAGAGGCTTTAATGCAAATGGAGGTTTAGCCTCTAAAGAGTTTTAGAGTCCCGTGAGGGAAGGACAAGGATTTTTCTCAGGCATGCAGCACCCAGACCATAAAGGAAGCAGGATCCTTTCTTAATATTCTTCTTTCTAGTGTATATATCCAGATGAAAACCTATTGTTGTGTCTAATTTGCCTTCTACAGACAGCTGGAAGTAGCCTCATGGTCACAGGCCCTGGTTCTCATGGGGGACTCAAACCACCCTGCTGTCTATTGGAGGGACAACACAGCAGGGCACAAGCAATCCAGGAGGTTCCTGGAGAACACTGATGATAACTTTCTGACACAGGTGATGGAGGAGCCAATGAGGAGAGGTGTGCTGCTGGACCTCATACTAACAAACAAGGAAGGGCTGGTTGGAGATGTGAAGGTTGGGGGCAGCCTTGGCTGCAGTGACCATGAGATGGTGGAGTTCAGGATCCTGAGAGGAGGAAGCAGGGCAATAAGTAGGATCGCAACCCTGGACTTGAGGAGAGCAGACTTTGGCCTCTTCAGGGACCTACTT